GATGCCTCCTCCGCCTCAAGGCCACGGAAGTGACAAACCAGCGGGAGGCAACGTACCCACTCCGCCTCAAAGCCATGGAACCGATAAACCAGCGGGAAATAACGTGCCCGCTAAGCCTGAAGACCCGGGAAGCTACCCCGTTGGAGATGACGTTCCCAAGGATAAAGATACCAGCGATAAACACTTAAACGAGGGCGAATCCCACCCCCCTGCAGCAACCAAACCCGCTCCAGCAAGTCCACCCTCCAGTCCACTGCCCCACGTACCAGACCACGGCGCATTCATCGTCGACGCACCGTCGAACTACACCGCCTCCAACTACACCGCCTCAAACTTGACCGTTCCAGCAGGCAACAGCATGGCGCACAAGCAGACATATGTCTCTGGCGCCACTGCTGACACGAGGACGAACCATCTAGTCGTCGGTCTTTTCGCTACCGTTGCTGCCATGGTGGTTATGATTTGAGAATGGAATGCTTGCTCAGCGATGCGATTTCATAACCTCGATTCCTTTTTTTCGTGTTCTTGATCCTTTTCGCGAGGTTGGGAAATGGTTAGAGCTAGGCTAGGCTGGCTTGCTTGCATGCTTTGCTTTGCTTGGCTTTGCTTTGCTCCCTTTGGTAGGGAGAACCCATTCTGGTGTCCCGCTCATAGTTTCTTTTTACTTATAATTAGTTGCATTTTAGAACATAGATTTATTTATTACTTGTATCTGTCCCTTCTGTTTCTTTCTATCGGTTTATGTGGCTGTGAATAGGTAGGTCCGTTGTGTATAGAAACGTCAATGAGGGAATATAATAACTGAGATGATGATGTGCCCATAATAGGTACCCACACGTATCCTCCTAGAAGCCCCATGTAATTTGTCATAATGCAACCCGTAGGCGCGAGTTCAGTGCAGTTTTTAACTCTATGATATAGACGACCATATCATATCGCTAGAGTATAATTAGCGGCCTTAGCGAGACACACGTGACTTGGTAACTAATCCAATCCCTACGAGATCAAATTATCAGAGTGTACACCTGCCAGATTTTTTTGTTAGCTTCTGCTTCTTGTGATATCTTAATAGATATCTGATGTAAATACAAAATTCTTTTAGATGCTACCAATCGTTGGTTGACTGCTTCGTACTACGTATATTAGTCGTACAGCTCATCTTGGGGGAACCGGAAGCTGGTGTATAGCGATTCGAATACCGGTAGTTTTGAGTAATTTGTTGCTTTGGCATGTCAGACATACACGTGAACGAACCAACGTGTTGCTATTCCACGCCTAACCCGTCTGGGGCACTCAAGAAATAGTCTCTCTACCTACCCATGCGCCGGCTTTTACCTACCGGTAGTCTGCGAACACTCGGTTAAAATCAAGACAAAGTCAAAGGCTATCTATGCAACTGAGAAGTGCAGCCGTTTTTTGACGATTGTTTGTCAATTCTAGCACTGAATACGTAGGTTTGAAAAATAATCTTTGTATCTTATTCTTCTGATGTTATCTATCCATTGTCTCGTTTTAAAGTCCAATAAATGACGTATGTGCCAGCCGAGGCTGAACCTGGCAAATCTCGATTTGGGCGCGTCACATCAGAAGAAGCACCTAACCACAATTGCGAGCAAAGTTCCAACAGGTATTTGCTGTATTCTCTCGTCGAAGCGAACGATATACCTGATGCGCAGTCCACCGGCTCCTTGAATACCACACGGCACGCATGATGACCTCAAGCTGTAACGTATGGCAGAGGTTCCTGGACCGCTGCATCGAGACGCGCCTTGACCCTGAAACCTTCAAAACCTACGTCGAGCTCCTCCACAACCAAAGCCCCCTTCAGCCAGCACGGATACTAGATATTTTTCTTGCGCCGCGAGAAGATATCAATTCGGCTCTCGATCCGCGTGTCGTCCGCTACCTGCAGGTTCTGCTGAGCCTGGATCTGGTCAATGTGCCGACCCTGTTGAGGGCGTTGTGGAAGGTCTCGAGCTTCCGAGAAGATGAACTCGAGCAGGATGGAGGAGAGAACAAGAAGCCGCCGAGAAGATGGACAAATTCATATGCGGCGGAGGAGACGCTGTTCTACCGCATCACGAAACACATCTCCTCGGGCGCAGCGCCTCGCGACCTTCAGGAGATCGTGGAATTGATCAATGCGTGTGTACGGTGGATGGGGACGATGGTTACTGCGGCACACCCCGTGCGCCAGATGATGGGTTTGGCTCCCACGAGTCCGGCTGAAATGGCAGCAGTGCACATGGCTCTTGGTACATTGGTTGTCTCGGTGGTGGAGAGTGATCGAGTACTACACTTTCTCAGAAGAAGGGCGGTACCGAAGTCTACACGGCTAGAGCTGGGAAAAGCGTTGGCAGGATTCGTGCCGCTGTTGATAGAGAGCAGCCCTCAGAGTGCTGGAAGGCTGGAGATTTTTCGGACGGAAACACTGATTTCGTTCGAACCTCCTGAACCGAAGGAGCCCAAAACTGGAGCGGACAAGGAGATCGAAGATATGCTACAGGCAGGCTTGGAGCCAGGAGTAGACAGTATGGTTGTAGAGGAACTTCCAGTCGTCAATACTAGGGCGGGCTTGTATATCTACCTCAACTCTCTGGTAGGTCGGATGAAAACTACCAGGGTTCGCGTGCTGATGTTGACAGCTCGTTGCTCGACCATTGGTGGATGATGGTGCCATATTTCAATATCTCCATAACAGATACCAAGTTTGCTGCCGTATCTTAGAACAGCAAGTGCTTCGCTAACTCGAATAGGACGATATCCGATCTACCATGGTAGATCTTATTCTCGCAGCGTTTGATGTCCTCGCAAATGCAACGTTTCGCAACGAACGAGCCCAGACTACAAACATTCTCAGATCCTTCCTCATCAACAAGATCCCGCTTCTCCTCTCAGCTTTGTCGTCGTCACTTTTCCCACCTCTCACCTCTGAGTTTTGTATCACAGAAGCTCTGAGGCATGTCGATACCACGGTCTTTCCCACACTATCCAACATGTTTGATGAGACGAGCAACAATAACATGTTCTCCGACTCGGTGCGGCAGGATTTCTGCTTTGCATGTTGTCTACACGGCTTATTGGAAGAGTCGAGTATCGAAGAGCTATTGGGCGACATTCCAATGCAGAGTTTACCAGCAGGTGGTAGGTATATGAAAGAAGACCTGGTTCAGCAATGCTTGTCAGATCCGGAAAGGACCGAGGGTTTGGTCGATGAGTTGGAGCATATGGACGGAAACGTCGGGGCTGTAAGCCATGCTATCACAGAGGCGAGTATTGAATACCCCATGTGAGAATCAAAATTAACAACATAAGGTTATTGCACGACTATGTAGCAATAAGGAGACAATGTCCCTGAAAAGTTTGTGTAATCAGCTTGTCAGGAGACCATACTCGCTTGACGTGATGCTTCTTTTCGACAAACCTTCAACATTCCTCCAACCAATCTGCGACCTGCTTGATAACTGGCGATATGACGAGGACCAAGGAGAGTACCAGCCCGTATACGAAGAATTCGGAGCCATTCTTCTGCTGGTCTTATCATTCACTTATAGATACAACCTATCTACTGTCGACCTAGGAATACGAAACCCGAATTCGTTTGTCGCCAAGCTTCTCAATCGCGGCCATCTTAGCCGTAAGATGGAAGACATGACCGAGGCCGAATCGCAACATCTCAAGGGCTGGATACAAGGTCTGTTTGACAACGAAAGTGGTGGGCTCGGAGATGAGTTGATGTCGTCTTGCCCACCGCAAGACTTTTACCTTCTGGTGCCGACCCTCTTCCATGAGACTGCCTTGGCATGCTCAACCAAAGTTCTGTCTGATGAGACACTGAAAGGTGGATTGGAGTACTTGGTCGACACTTTCCTCCTCCCATCCTTGGTTTCTGGCATCAACTGGTTGGCATGCCAGCTTTGGGAATCCCGCGGTGACGCCAACGCTGTCCTTCAAATCCTCTCTGTACTTATCACGAATCCGGCCTCCATATCCAATAACACCGAAGCCTCTCAGATGCTCAACTCAATTCTCAACATCGTAGCTAAGAACCTAGAGCAAAGTCTCCGCTGGCTCCAACGCGCCGAGCCGTCACGACAAGACATCGAGCCTCTTCTCAAAGCCCTCCGCGGCAACCTCGGCTGGGAACGTCGCGGTGCAAGCGACCACACCGAACTCGAGTCCTGGACCGGCTCACCAAGTGGTGGTCTCATCGTCGCCATCAACTCAACTCTCGGAAATATGGTACAGTGGGCTCTCAACCCACGCCTAAGCAGCCATCCTGCAAACTACACCCACCGGCTCATCCTCGTCGCCGTCAAAATGCTAGGCGCCAAACGCGTCCTAGCCGCTCTCATCGATGAATTGAAGACGCACATTGAAAACGGCAGTGGAAGTGCCGCCCTCGATGCAGCATGCGCTATCGTCTGCGCCCCGGAACCCGCGAGCTGGGACACGGGAAGCCAAATCGATGTCATCCCGCCTCAACAGCGGCGCATGAACCTCCGCGAAGCTCTCAAGTCCGAGGCCGAAGACGCCCCCCAGCTGCACAAAACGGAGCCCTGTCGCGCCGAGACGATCGTACGCCTGTACCGCAAGGTGGAAGCCCAGCTCAGCATGCCACAGCAGGCTATGGATGCACTGGGCGATCTCAACAACGCCATCGACGCCGCGGGCATGGATGCGCTGGCGTCCGTGGTGGATACCGGCCGGGGGAACCTTTTGATTGGCTCCCTGGGAGGTGAGCATGGGGACTTGATGTCGGGGCTGATGGGGGGCGGGGAAGATCTATTGGGATTTGGAAGTGGAGGCGATCTGGGGGGTGGGATGGGGGATGGTATGGGGGATGTTATGGGGGGTGGCATGGGGGGTGGCATGGGCTTTTGATTGGAGTTTTGTTTGTATCTTTGTGTTGTTGAGAGAGCGCTTGGTAAGTTGTAAGGGAGGTGCTTTTCGTCTCTGGTCTTTGGAGTTCGAGATATGTACCTTCACAGTCGAGGTGTTAACAGCTAGTCCCCTGGGGTATCTGGGATGGTGCGGATAGGTAGTTAGTTAGGTATTTCTTTTTTAAAAAAAAAATTATGCCCGTTATCATCATAATTTTACCACCACTACCACTACTATTTAGAGTGAGTCCTGCCCCTCCTTCCTGCCCCCCCCCCCCCCCCCCCCCCCATAAATAAATCGGCCTAGGAAGATGTGATGTGAAGTACTCTCGCGAGCTTTACGGAGTATCAAAGGGGATGATGATATATGAGGATGGATGGTGTTAGATAGATAGGTAGGTAGTTTTATTAGGTTGTTGAAACTGGGTTTACGGAGTAAGGGGATTTTTTTTTTTTTATAAGTATGTATACGGAGTAAGCGAAGTAAGCGAGAATTGAATGGCGAGCGGTTTGCCACTTTTTTTTCTTCCTTTTTTTTCTTCTTTATCTTCTTGTAGGAATGTAAGCACCAGGTCACGTGGCTACAATAGGGTATGCCGGCCTTGGCACCAACATATAGCTCTCCCTTAGCTACCTTAGTGACCCCGCTCGGATTATTCTCCCGGGCGCAGCCTTCGCTTAACTCCTCCTACACGGTTTAAAAATATCTACACGGTTTAAAATCTATCAACCGAGCTGTTTTGAAGGATAGTGGCCAACCGTGTAGACCTGCTACACGGTCTGCCCCACGGTTCTAGAATCCCGGCTTGCTCCGCTAAGGTAGGTAGTATAGCTGAGCCTCTTCAGACTTCAGGAATATACTTGGTAAACACTACTCGGTATAATTTGTACTTCTCACCACCGGATTGCCTGTGCAACCGACACTTCTCTCTCTCTCTCTCTCTCCCTTTTTCCTTTTTTTTTTTTTTTTTTTTTTTTTCGTTTCTCGTGTTTAGTCGCTGATTACGGAGATCATGTAATGAATGCAATGCGTATTAAAAAGTAGAGTATTTAAATTTCTCTTATCTTAAGAAGAAAGAGCAGATTTCCTCTTTGATTATTATGTTTATCTTGACATTGATTATTTCAAGCGGATATAATGAACGGATGGGGGATCCAGCCCGAACGATAGGTTACCCCAGAACAAGTAAAGCCATAAACGCTTATTTCATACCAAAACTTGTCAATTTGAGAGCGCAAACTTTTTTTTTTTCCCAATCGGAAGCTTTAAATGATAAATAAAAATTATAAACCTTTCAGTAGATACAAATAGCTCATAACTCTGAGACGGTTTTATTCCATATCGTTTGAGAGAGGGCTAGGTAGAGCAGGAAGCATGGAATGTTGGCTTTCGCTTAATATTTAGAGTTATACCCGCAAATTTAATTTTGGAAGGGGTAGAGTAGAAAAGAAAAAACGAGGGGAGCGATGTCGGCTCTTATCCTTTGCATTTAGTTCCATTGAATAAGCAGATTTAAGATCAATGGTCCAATTAAATAGTTTCCCGAAAGTGGGATTGATGGATTCTCGCTAATGTGAAATTTTCTCTCGAAGTGTTGACCCTTAGTTTTGGTGCTAAAAGGGGGTCTATGCATTATAACATCGTTAGTACTGTACCTACTGGATCCTCGCCGGTCGCGGTCCCTGACCAGCCAGCCCGTTCGATGATGTCCGCCTCGATTTATACATTAAACTTGACTCTCTGCAAGACTCGACGCTTCTTTTCCATCCCCGATTTCGCAGCCGCGTTCCGGGATATTCTTATTTAGAGGCGATGTGATGGCTTCTCGCATATCATGATACAGCACGACGGCCCCGGGCTGTGGCTGTGGCGAGGAGATAGAGGGAAGTGAGAAGTTCCAGCCCACGCGCTCCAACTTGCCGACGAGATGCTGCTTCATGCCTACGAAGCGGATGGGGACCTCGGTGCCGGCGTAGGCCTTCAGCTCGGTCTGCGTGTCCTGCAAGGCGAGGATGCCCGTCTCGTCAATATAGATGACGGATGAGAAATCGATGACCAGGAGCCTGATCTGCGGCAGGTCATCGTCGGCGGCGTCGGAAAGATGCGGAGGAGAAATATTTTTGTTGTTGTTGTTTTTGTTGTCGTTGGCGTAGCGTTCTCTCAAGCGCGCAATGTGCTGAGTGCCGAGCTCGTTCCAGAGCCGGTCGGGATCCGTTTTGTTGCGCGAGAATGATGATGGTGCAGGCGCGCCCGAATGGAAAGCCTGCACGGTGTCGAGGATGGAGGCTTTCGCGCGCGAGGCGTTGAGGAAGATGATGGGGTGGCTGAACCTCACCACGGCAGTCCCGGCTGGGATGTGATCGATGCCGCAGCCGCTGTCGGCGGACGGCCGGGGGTAGTAAGTGGCGAGATCGTCTCGCGGGTCCAGGCCTCGGCCTTTGAGGAAGAGAGTCTGGAGGATGGTGCACAGAAGCATGAAGCCGGTGGCGAGCTCGATGCCCATCTCGGCCGAGACGAAGAGGGTGACCCAGAAGGCGATCTGCGACGCCGTAAAGTCGACCAGCGACACGTTCCAATAGCCGACGAACACGGAAGGGGAGGCGACGATGGACCACACGGCTACGATGATGACGGCCGATAGGGTGGCCTTTGGGATCCAGAAGAGCGCCCCGGTCAGGGCGTAGATGGAGACGAGGACCGTCCCGGCCGTGAATAGCCCATACAGAGGCGACTTGACCCCCGATTCCGAATTGACCGCAGTACGTGAGGCGGCGCCGCCTACAGCCATGCCGCCCATGAAGCTGTTGAGCACGTTGGCGACGCCGAGGAATGTGAGTTCCTGGCTTGGATCGATCGCGTAGTGATTCTTCCGGCCGAACGACTTCGCGATGGCGATGTGCTCCAGCGCGGCCGCGAGGAAGACGGCCAGGCTGGGCGAGAAGACCCGGCCTACCAGCGCCATATCCGGCGCCCGGGGCGGGAGGAGCCCGGCCGGAATCTTCCCCGTGAGGGCGAAGATGGGCGTCTGGATGTTCCGGTTGGCGACGAAGCTGATGACCGTGAAGAGGAGGATGGTGATGGCGTTCCGGCCGATGGAGACGATCCACATTACTTTGCTCCTCTTGCCGTACCGCTGGCCCAAGACTTGCATCGCGACGAGCATGAGGATGCCTACGATCCCGACGACGAGAGTCACCGGCTTGGTCCGGGGGAGTTTGGCGAAGATGTCGTGGATCTGGTTCGCAACGCCGCTGCCGACGTCGGTCTCGCCGAAGATGGCGGGGACCTGGCCGACGATGATGGTTATTGCTGCGGCGGAGATGAAGCCGGTGAGCACGGGATGCGAGACGAGCTCTAGGAGAAAGCCGAGTTTGAGCAGGCCCAAGACGAGACAGTACACGCCGACCGAGAAGGATATGGCAACTGCGATGGCGGTCGATGTGTATCCCTCGGCACTGACGTCCTTGATGATCTGAGCCGTGAGAAGGCCGATGATTGATGTTGGTCCGGTATTGGCATCTAGAAGAAGAAGAAATAAAAAGCATCAGTTAAAAAGACCTCAGATGTTTTTGACCCTTTTTCTTTTCACTTGTCAACTTACCTTTTGAAGTTCCCATGATGAAGTATAGGATAGACGGCAACCACGCAGCCAGCAGCCCGTCCTGCAGAGGGATACCCGCAATCTTTGCATATGCCAACGCTTGCGGCACGAGGACGACCCCAACGGTCAAGCCCGCGATCGAATCATTGACGATCCATCGCGGTGCGTATCTCGGCAGCCATTGTACTGCTGGGACTTTCTCTAAGAGGTATCTGCCCGTTGCCGAGGGGAGGTCACTCGCGCATTGGCGAACGAGGTTGCTGGCTCGGCTCACATTATGGTCCTTCATAAATGCATCCATGATCGATTCACATGAGTAAGACTAAGCAGATTAATTTGAATGATTTTTTTTATGAATTAAAAGAATACTGAGTTGGGGAAGTTAATGATGAAAAAGATGGAGAGGAGGGCTCTTCTGGCTTGGGCTTTGTATCGCCCGTACATATATCTCTTCAAGAAGAAGTGTGCCATGGGATTACCCCCGCCGTTGTAAACACTGCCCGCCTCTTCTGCCATGGACCTGTATGGTATGGCACTATACTGACATGAGCTGAAAGTGCTACGATGACGATGGGTAGCCATCAGCTGGGTAATCGAATCATTGCGTCCAAATAAGCGTTTGCCCATCAAGAAAGCCAAGCCGGGCTAGCAGCGGATCCGGGGTTGGCGATCAATTCCAAAAAGAAGGCACTTTGATAGGCCAGCAGTTTGTTTCTGAGGCTTGTAAGAAAAAGATTATGCTCACATCTGACAACACTGAAACGAATGTTGGCAGCTAAGCGAGCAACGAGATCGAGTCGTTGCCTGCGGCTATCGGATGGATCTAAGGCGAAACAAAATGAGTCAGTCATGGAAGTGGCAAATGTTGTATCGTAGTCATTAGTGGCGTGTCTCAATGGGTTCGATGTTGATATATGACAAGTGTATTAGCATTTGGCCTTTGCAGAGCCGCTTTCCTGCTGACACCAACAGAAAGTGTCATAAGAACCCAATTTTTAATCACCAACAGTTCATATAAGCACTTACCAATTTTTTTCTCCAAAGTATCATAAAGCACCTACTCTTCCCTACATTCAAGCTTCAAAATAGAACCACTCAATCAAGGCCCACCCCAGCCAACGGGTACCTACCTCCCCACCCCTCTGCTCTGAGATAACCTCCCTTCCTAGACTTTCAATAGACCCCAAGATCCAAAACCTCAAAACCTCACTACCTCTTCGTGCGACAGCCCACAATCATCAAAGTCTATTCAGTCGTCGATAGTTATAATATAACCCGATCTTATTCACCGGTGAGATAGATCTTGCTTGAAAGGAAACCACTTTCGCGGGGGCGAATGTTTCGAGCCCCATTAAGTAAAACCAGCATAGGTATGTAATAATAAAAAAACTCCCTCCATCGACTAGCTAGGTTATATACTGCCGATTATTATTTCGCCGGCAATGTCTCGGCTTTGGTCATCCTTATTGAGAACCGCGGGGATGGAAAAGTAGGTAAAGCTTGGCGGAGCTTATGCATGTTTGTTTTAAAATCAATATACATTATTAATGAACAGTAAAGACGGCTCGATTAACAGTAGCTATTTTTCACTTCGTCTTCATCTCGATATTTTCCTAATACTTCGGACCTCAATTGAACAGCAATGTCTATGCCACGTTATGATCTCAGGCCTTTGAAAATTATTTGCATGGGTACTTTCGTTCCAGAACCGTCTTGATAGCTTCATAACGTCAATAAAACTTGTCAAAGTAAGCACATGGCAAAGCAGAGCCATGCGCAAGAAGCTGCTAATATAGTATCGAATGAAAGGACTTCTAGTGCCGTAATCAACCATTGAAATAACCGCTTGAAAGAATCGCGGGCTGCACCCAACAGCCTGAAATCTCCGGGATCGAGACTTTCGAGCATTCCTTCGACTAGAGAGCAACAAAGATCTCGAGGGGGCATCACAGGATGTAAACCGAGGTCCACTTTGTACAGGATTGAAAAAATCACCGAGATCTACTCGATATAAGTCGGGATATTATGAATACCGAACTGGAGCAAGATCATTATGCCATTATGGGCGTACCTCAGAGCGCCGAAAAGAGAGAGATCCGAAAGGCATTTATGGGCCTGTCGCTGCTGGTCTATCCAGATCATAACATGGGATACAAAGAGCCTTTTGATGCTACTTTCAAGATTGTAATTTCCAATATAAGCCCAGAGATGACTGGCGCCAAACATTCAGAGATTGCAGCAGCAAGAAGCCAGGTTGAAGAGGATAGAGTGGTACCAGAGCCAGGCCTTGTACCGCACGAGACTGGTTTCTCTACGAGAGCAAGTCGCGGAACTGAGACGTGGTCTCGAGAAATTTCGCGGAACTCGAAATTCTATCTTTACAAACACGGAACAGGATCTGGCGGAGATGAGGTCCCGTTTATGGATGTCGAGGATCGGCAAAAGTTCGCGATTGGATCGGTGTATAGATAAAATAATGACGCTCGTGAAAACCAATGGGCAGATGGCTTGGGAAGCCCGGATCCAGGACGACGTACTTCTCTGGAGCGAGGAGAAACAACGGATAGAAGACGGAGACTACTACAACTCACCTCGGTGGTGAAATCCAGAGAAAATCGCATTTCAGAACCAGCACTGGGCAACGAATAGGAAGTGGTGGTAAGACAATATCAGCATTTCCCCCGAGCCTCGGAATGCTTTTGCGCATGAAAGATTTCCCTTGCGCCTTTGCAATGAACGGCGTCATATGTAGAGCCGGTGAGAAAAATATCGCAGTCGGGCGTGGTGACTGACAACAGAGCGAACATACGAGAGATGCCAATATTGAACAATCCCCGGTTCCAGAATTGGCTAGCATGGCGGCTTGGACATCCATTTGTACGGAAATAGCGGACTTCTCTTCTACTGTACCGCGTAATCCGTGGTCATGGCATCCATATGAGGGTTGTTATCGCCTGTGGCAAATGCGGCACATTATATTGCCATTCATGGTAGTCGTGGCAGTGGGAAGGCCCCAAAAGGAGAGAGTGTAGGTAGAAAGGGCTATCAATACTTTAGCGAACCAACGTCCTGTCCAGAATAGAACTCTTTTGATTTCATGCCGTCTTTGAGTATGTGCTCGGGTGACCATGCTTCTTCCCATATGACCGAACCTTCCCATCCAAATCCATCTTGATGAAGAACATGATAGGAGCCACTACCCAGGTCAGCAGCGTGTCCCACAGCCAATTATTCCTCGCGGCTCCAGCCCACGAACAAGCCCTCATGGCCTGGCCCAGAAATCCTACCACAATCAAATACTCCCCGTTCTCCAGGCCCTTGATAGACTTCGCGGCAACCTCATCAGGCGTCTGTACCGGATCACCCTCTTCCATAATCTGCGTAATCTTCGGCTTCGTCTTGTTCTCGTTCTGCAGTCCTGGACTATCGATTGTGCCAGGAAAGACAGTATGGATCTTGACGCTGTCCCCATACAGCAGCAGTTCATGTGCCAGTGTATCGCTTAAACTCTTGACCGCAGCCTTTCCGGGACTATACGGTGAATACCCAACGACCGTAAACAGGCCCAGCACCGAGCTCGTGAACACCAGATGTTTGGTTCCGGACCTGCCCACTTTATCTAGCGCCAACCACTGACGCAGTATCGCGTGTGCCATATCCGAGCATGACCAGTAGTTGAGATTCATCTGCTGTCGCATAACGGACTTTGGGGTATCGAGAAAGAGGCTCGGGTGTGAACCGCCGGCCACGCACCACACGACGTCTGGAGCCTCGCCCTTGTTCCAGACAATCGCCTCAGCGATGACGCGATCGGCTGCCTCTTCTTCGGCTAGGTCTGCGCTGATGTAGTGAAATCGTTGGGTAGATGGGCTTGCTGCTGAGGCCTGGTGCAGTGTAAGCATAGTGGCGTCTTGTAGTTCAGGGAAGTAAGGTATACCTTTACTGCAGCCAATGCCTGCTCCAGCTTGCCCACATTGCGGGAAACGATGATCACATTGGCCCCCTTTTGCGCGAGCTGCACGGCGGCGCTCCTGCCCATACCCTCCGAGGCGCCGGTGATGAGGACTGTCTGTCATTGTCAGCGAGGCTGAAGGGGGAAGGAGAAGGCTGAGGCTTCACTTTGCCCTTGACATCGAACTTATTGCCGCCGAAGAGACCCATGATTGAAGGAAGTAGTACCAGGAGGCCGACGATGATACTCGCAATGGTCCAGAACCCAAGGTCGAAGATTGAGGCCATCGCGATAGATAGACTTGGTGTCAGCACTGACTGGATTGGAAATATGACGGTGCTTGAGTTTTTCCCTGGGAAGCCTGACCCCGATAAGCCGATAAGCTAATCAAGGGCTTCAAGGGGGTAAACTTGACCCACTCCCTAACCGAGCCTAAAACGGGCATTTGTTTTGACTCCCATATACGTAGTAAGAGAGCGCGTGCAAGGAGTCAAGTTATTCTTGACCGGAGACTGATGTAGGACACAGCAATCCATCCAAATTTCACGAAGACGGTACGTCTTCGGTTCGGGACGCAAGTCGACAGGATTGTAGCTGTGATGAGCCAATCGTAGGAGGATATTGGAAGTCGAGGAGGTCCAATCGTAACGTCTCTAGGAATCTCAGAGGAATCTCAGAGGAATATCAGAACTATGATGCATATGACGGCTGCAGCACTTCAATTAGAGAAATCCCATCTCGCAGACTCACGAGCTTGAAATATGTCATCATATCAGGCTTCTACGCTCCAGCCCCATTACAAGCCCATATGCTTACTCCGCTCTAGCTACCAGGTCATCCGCGAGATGCACCCACAACCATAATCATCGTAGCGAGTTATCCGGCAGATCTACACCAATGAAGACACGAAGAGCTTATTGGGTAGATTATAAAGCCATCCAGTAGAAGTTGTCTTAAAGTGTCTCCTTCAGGCTGCCTGGCTACTTCATTCGCCATCGCAGATCAAAGCTCGTCCTGTACGTTTCTATCCTGAGATGTTAGTCACTCAACAGATGCTCTCCAGCCTCTTATCGACTGGACTCTACTATTGGATCCAGATTCAGCCCTCTTCGGGGCTGAAGGAAGCTTTGCATCTATCTCGGCTCCACCGAGAGTTCGGCACTTTAACAATCAGACATCAATCATCCTTTTCAGCCCTACAGTCCAACATCCTGAAGTGCAAGAGGATATCAGCCTTGAGCCCGGCGTCTGAATTGCGGTCATGTCTATGAAAACCATGTCTCTTGGTCGCACCATAGGGCACTTTGGTGATCTAAAAGCGAGTGCCAAAATGTATGTATGCATGTCCAGTTGCAGAACCGTGCTGTGCTGTGCTGTGCTCCGCCCCCCTCCCCTCCCCCCCATCTATTAGTACACTACGCTCTTCTGACACTTAAGAGGCCTAGCAAGCCGGATGTCGTCGAACATGTCTCGCCCGCAGCTTGCCAAGCTTTCACCTCCCAGCCGCCAGCTGCAACGAGCATCGAATGCGACGCTCCACAACCCGACGCAATGCCGAAAGAACGCAAGAGGAAACATCACCAGCGGTCCAAAGCAGGCTGCATAACCTGCAAGAAACGGCACCGGCGATGCGACGAGGCAAGGCCCTTCTGGTAGGCGACGAAACCCGAGTGTATATAGCATATAGTGCGCTTCAGTCTGACAGTGTTCAAAGCCACAACTGCCTCAAGACAGGCGGCAGTTGCGGCTATCCAGACTCCACCACTCCGTCCGTTGACGGTAACGAGATCGGCAAAGACCTCCACCATGACCAGCGGTGGCTCCTGAACTTGCCGGTTCTCCAATATGATTACACTACCCACTGCAGCTGTCTTCCCGACAGGCTATCGGGCGTGTCTAAGATGCTATTCAACCATGGTGATTAATTCATCCCAGCGGGCATCGGATATCATTGCGCTCACTGCTGAAATTGTGACCACTGACTGGTCAATAGGCGCGACGTACAATACCCTCACCCGTCAGGCTGTCACGAAGAAGTATCGTCACGCCGAAATCGAGTTCAGTACGAGCGACATTGCCGTTCTGCATTCGGTGCTGCACTTGACCGCGAATCACTGGGTCGCGACAGGTGGAGATCCGGGGTACATGGCACCGGCGCTGTATCACCACAAACTCGAAGCCATGCGTATTATTCGAGAGAGACTGCGAGATCCGGAGCAGGCCACTACAGATGGTACCGTCGGCGGGATCGCTATACTGATACTTGCAGAGGTAAGTCCCCCCTTGAAAATTAACCGAAGATCGCTTAACTGGGACGAGGTTTATTTATTTATTTTTTTTGAGAGAGGGAGAGTACTGAATGAAGTCTGATACGAAAGCAGGTGCTGTACGGAAATCCCAAGATCGCGGTGCATCACCTCGATGGCCTGGAAATAGTGATGAGGCTTCGAGATGGCATGCATATCAACACGCGAAACGGCTTTCTATCTCGGCTGATCTGTTTGTAAGTAATGATCCTCCGCCCACCGCAATGACACGCACCCAGTCCTGACGTGCCGTCCAGAGCAGACATACACACCTCCTCCCAAGTCAGGCAGCTCCCCCGCTTTTACGGCGGCTCAGTAACAAGAAGCACACATATTACCCCCAAAGCGAAAGCCAAGCCTTCCTCAACGTTGTCGTCGACGAAAATAGTAGTAGCGCCACCACCCGGCTCCGACTCCCCATTCTTCCCGACAGACGTGATGGGATCCCGCTTCCACACCACAGGAGGCTTCCCGGACCGCGACCTTGACTCGCTAGCACAGATGTTCCGCCATCTCCGCACGCACTCCGCCCTGGCTGCTGCATTCGAGAACGGCAGCTCTCCCATCCACGAAGCAGAGATCCTCTCCCGCCTCTGCGCGATCGAGAGATTCATCGACTCCCTCGTCCACGGCGGCGCCGGCGCCGGCTCAGATCACACCACCCTCCTCCTGCCCCAGAACGCGAACCGTCCCCTTCACAACACCAACAAGCCCGACACGGTGCCCATGCGGCCGTGCGGCTTCGTGGGCTCGATCTACATCTACCTGTTCCTGCGCAAGATCCCGCTGGCGAGTCCGGTGTTCGACTATATGGTCAGCCTGGTGCGGGAGGAACTGGAGCGGTTTGGGGAGGAAGAGAAGGTGTTGGAGGGCTCGGTCCCGGCGGAGGTTGTGTTTTGGATGTTGTTTGTAGCGGGGGTGGCGAGCGTCGAGAGGGAGGAGAGGGGCTGGTTTGTGAGGCGGTTGAAGATAGTGAGGGGAGTGCTTGGGCTGAGGGGGTGGGAGGAGGCGAGGAGGTTGTTGGGGACGTTGGCGTGGGCTGATGGGATGGGAGACGAGGGCGGGAGGAGGTTATGGGAGTTGTTGCTTGGGAGGGGGCCATGAGCGCATGTTTAAATTGGGGGAAACAGTTAGGAAAATACATTTCGGGTTTCGGTCTAGACTTGATCCCTATGTGTTTGGTAAGTCTAGAGCAGATGCTGATTACGTGCAACAGGGCCGTTGAAATGACCACACACGTGTATTGTATATATGGCCACGTGATCTCGGCTGGAGCCGAACTGGCCGTTGCGATAGATTGATTTAGTACAAACTTTATCCGGACGTTCCCAAATTCTCATGTATGCTTCATGATCATCCATCCATACGGAGTATGTTCCTTGATGACATCGAATGCCGACAACAAAACATCATCTCATCGAGCGATGCCCACATAGCTATCCCGCGTTGGTACGACTCCGGCCCGCTTATGCTCACTCACTCAAGCTGACAGACACTACTACCGGTTAGCCCGTCAGCTGAGAAAGCCAATCAGCGCTTACGTTATAACAATACCGCCCAATCCTTTTCTCATCTCTCTCCAACTCGAATCTTACGCTTACGCTTATTCGTATCCTTCCTTTCACAGCTTCGGATGAACGAATTCTTTGATTCGTCGGCGTATCCTGACCACTAATATCACGTGTTTTCTGTTATTTCGCGTAACTATCTCAGGGGCCTCGGTAATTTTGGATTTTGGTGTGTGTACGTACGTATGTAGCAACGTCGTTTGTTGTCGGCGATCACCTCCTAATGGGGATCTTCGCGCATTCCATCCCGCCTGTTCGGGTGTGCACGAGTGAGAGAGGACCGTCCACTTGGAATTCTCGCTTTCGCGCTCGTGAGCTTCGGCGGGTGGGATTTGCTGTGTCCCGGTGAGTGAGTGAGTGAGTGAGTGAGTGAGTGCTTATATTCATGTTGTTTTATATATTCGGGCAGGCCGGCAGGCATTGACACGGTGACCCGTCTGAAGTCCGTTGCATCCACAGAAGACAGATACAGACATACTCCGTAGACACAGGACTCGGGTCCTGGCTGCTGTCAGATTACTGCACATGGCCGTGCCATGGATTATCTCCTCTTCTCCAACCCGATACCAGCAGCCAGCCAATTGATATCCTGTTTTTTTGGCCTGCTCTCAGAAATCCAACTGCATGGCGAGGCTAGGGAGCCCAGAACCCAGAACCCAGAACCTAGGGCGCATGTGCATCCATCCATCCATCCGTTTATCTCTCCGAAGCGAAAATAGCCGTCGGGGTTTTTAGATCTGGGAGGGCAGCGCAAAGCTGATTGGCCAATTCACGAGGGTGTATCCAATCGATATTCGGAGCTGCATGGTGGGCATGGTCACGGTCGCGGTGGCATGGGCGGGCATCTCTCCACTTCTCTTTCAGCTCTCGGCCGTCAGCCATCAATCAGCCCTAAATGCCTTGATGGGGGCTGTGTCGTGCAGTTCGTTGCCTTGAATTGCTGCTTTTAATTCGTCGAAGCCACTGTACCTTGTTCATTTTAAGGGGTTTTTTTCCCTTTGACATTGCTACTTGCTATATGCTGTTGGAACTTGGCGTCGTTGGCTGGAGTCATCCCGCATCACACCCTGCGACCCCAAACTCGGTGTCCTCTTGCATACTGCAGTCCTGTCGCCCTCTTAGTAGATGGAAGAGGCTGTGTGGTCATCTCGACAGCTATAGATAGCACTTCTATAATATATGGCCAGAGGCGAAGGATGTGTGGAGTCTCATCTTTGGAAGGAACTTGATTACTTGTACGAGACACCTCAGTCCAGTTCATAAAGCTCCATCGCTAACCGATCATGAACAGAAACAGAGCTTAGCTTTATCATCACAAAATGGCAGATCTCGCCCCCACCACCTCATCACGCCAGGAAATCATGAGCGAGAGCGCAAATAGCGACTCGGAGCAGCATGAGTATCTTAGGTCCAGTCAGACTTTCCCTTCAAACTCAACTTTCGAGCAATGTCAATCTCAAATCGAGCTCAACAATTTTGGGGAAAGTCTCGGTGCCGCAGCAAAAGCCGTCTTCCCTGATGAGATCCAGCCACCATACACCAATGTTTATGCATTGATGATTGTCTGGAGAGATGAAGACGAGAACAGAGCAGCGCCCGTTGAGGTAGCGAAATTGTCTGCGGTATTCAAGGATATTTTTAAATTCGACGTGGAGCATTTCAGGATCCCAAGGGAGAATCCCCAGCAAGCTGTTGACGAGAAGATCAGGGGCTTTTTGGACCTTGGAGGGAATCGCGCCGAGGACTTGAAGATTATTTACTATGCTGGAGACACGAAAGCAAAGAGAGAAGAGAGAGTGATGTCGACCAGGTGCGCTGAACTTCTTACCGATGAGAGGATGTGTGCTTACATATATAGCGGTCGCAAGAAATCCAATCCTACAGGCGACTGGATTGATGTGCAGACAGCACCTGAGCAGGCTCACAGCGATGTCTTGATCCTCTTGGACAGTCCTTACACGGGGCCTTCGAGCATCAGCCACTGCAGTGGAGTCACCGAAGTCATCGCATCTCGCTCTCTAAACGAGGGAGCAAAGATCGACAAACCATTCGCCTTCACCGAAGACCTCGCAATTGAACTGCGAGATCTGAGTAAGCTGCCATCTTTCTCGGTCGGCAATCTCTATCACAACCTCTTCTGCCGCTCCCAAATTCGCCAGTCAGAACATCCCGACAAACCACCAGCCCCAGTCTACGCTCCTCTCAATCAAGAAAATGACAGATATCCGCGCAGCATTCGTCTTGCGATACACAAAGACGACGCTCATGCTAAAGGCTCATTCGAAGTCCACCATCCCAATCCAGAAGGAGTCACCAACCTCTCTCTTTCCCCCTCCTTCCTGCACTCATCCGCTCTAATTCCCGGCTCACAAGCGCCACGAATGGCATTTGCCCTTCACATCTCGTCAAGATTCAAAGTTTCTGACCTCCCTTCCTCTCCTTTTCAGCAGTGGCTCGGAAACTTACCCGCCTCATTAGCGGATGTAAAGATTGAAACTGGCTTCCACAGTTTCCCATCCCTACTTGTCGTCTCGGCACCCTTATTCATGGGTATTTACATGCCTCGAGATCCGGCGGTGATGCATCTGGGCCCATTTACCGGGTTCAACGAGATTTTGAGTGGACCGGGGGCATTTCCGCCGACGCCGACGCCGGATATAGGGATATTTGAGAGACCTAACCCTAGTCCGAAGATAAATGGGATTGATGTCCCTCTTCAGCAGAGCAATGGTGTCAATGGTACCCATATATCTTCGGGGGTCCGGTTTGAGGAGCTTCCTGGAGCTACCAACGGCAAAGAAAACAAACCGCCGTTTGAAAGAGGAGATTCTCAATTCAGCCTCGATACCAGTTTTGACACAATTTTCGATACACCGATATTGTCCAGCGGGCTTCGTCACGCTCCTACACTCCATGGTGAGATACCAGAGAAGTCTCATCCGATCCAATCACCAGGACCGCATGCTAGCGAGCCAAACGGGCCGCAGTCGAAAGCCCATGCCAAGATCAGAACATATACCGATGATCCGTATACCAAACAGTTCCCACGCATTTCTCGTTCTGTTGAACTGTTGCGGAACAGCTATGATTGCATTGTCATCGGTTCCGGTTATGGTGGTGGCGTCGCGGCCAGCAGAATGGCTCGAGCAGGCCAATCAGTCTGTCTCCTTGAACGAGGAAAGGAGCGCTGGCCAGGCGAGTATCCGAGCGGATTCCTAGACGCTTTGAAAAATCTTCATGTCTCTGGGGAGTTTGCACCAGGCTTCTTGGAAGGCGCCATGGTGGAAGGTGGAGATCCAACAGGTCTCTACCACCTCATTTGCGGCAAGGGCCAGAACGCATTTGTTGGCAACGGACTCGGAGGCACGAGCTTGCTGAACGCGAATGTATTTCTTGAAGCAGATTCCAAGACGATGAAGATGTCGTGCTGGCCGAAAGAATTGCGGAAGCCGGATTCGCTGAAAGAGTACTATGATCGTGCAGCCGACGTTCTTGAGCCAGAGACATATCCTGACGACTGGCCCGAACTGCCCAAACTCACGATGCTTGAACGTCAAGCCAAGGCTCTAGGCTGGGGCGAGAAATTCCGCCGTGTGCCGCAGACCACACGCTTCAAGGGAGGTCCCAATAGCACAGGCGTAGAAATGTATCCCTCGGCCCTGACGGGAATGGATTCTACCGGCGTTAACGACGGCAGCAAGTCTAGCACTTTGGTCAACTATCTATCTGACGCATGGAACTGGGGCGCAGAGATGTTCTGCGAATGCGAAGTCCGCTATATCAAGAAACACCCTGATCCAGAACAAGAAGGCTATCTCGTGTTCTTTGCGTGGCACGGAAGCAGTCGTGGAGCGTTCCAGGAACGACTGTATGAGGATTTGATGTGGGTACATGCAAAAAAATGCGTGTTTCTTGGTGCGGGAAGCATTGGGACCACGGAGATACTGCTGAGGAGCAAGAAACTTGGGCTGGGAATGAGTGATAAAGTTGGCACAGGCATGAGTGGAAACGGCGACATTCTCGCCTTCGGATACAACACCGACAGCGAAGTCAACGCAATCGGACGCCAGTATCCGTCGCCGTACAAGCCTGTTGGTCCAACGATCAGCGGGATCATTGACTGTAGAGACGATCACGACAATCCCCTTGATGGGTTCGTGATACAAGAAGGCGCTATCCCGAAAGCTCTTGCTCCGCTGTTTCAGACTATGCTCGAGCTTATGCCAGGCAACCAGCTTCCCACTGGGCAAACTCTCCTTGAGAAGGTCAAGCACTCTATTGCTCAGCAAGGAAGTCGTTTCCTGGGACCATACTACGCGAAAGGCAGTATAGAACGCACACAAGTCTACCTCGTCATGAGCCACGACTCGAACCAGGCAATTCTCACCCTCAAAAATGACAAGCCAGTCCTCGAATTCCTCGGGGTGGGACGCAGCGAGCATGTCGAGTACCTCAACGACGTCCTCCGGCAAGCAACCCAAGCAGTCGGTGGCACCTACGTCAACTCTCCCTTTTACGCAGCGCTCGGCCAGCAGGAAATCACCGTTCATCCCATCGGTGGAGCGTGCATGTCCAAATCCGATTCCGGCGAACACGGCGTCACGAATCACTGGGGTGAGGTGTTTGCGGGTGATGGGAAGGAGACGCATCACGGACTCATCGTCACAGATGGCGCTGTTATCCCCACGGCGTTGGGCGTAAATCCCTTCGCAACCATCACCGCGCTGGCCGAACGCTCCGTCGAGCACGCGGCCAAATTCCGCATCAAGAGGAGGATAGATTTCGAGACGAAGAATAATATGCTCGACCTCTTTGCAGAACCGCATCAGTACGCATCTGCCAAGAAGGTGTTGCAAAGGAGCGATACTACTGGTATCCGTGAAGCTACGAGCCTAGTGACCAGGACGAGAGAGGCAAAAAGTAATGGCTTTGGATTCTCGGAAGTCATGTCCGGATATATTCACGTGGGAGAGGGGATCGAAGGCTGTAAGATTGAAGATTACCAGACTGCTGCGAAGACGGCCAAGGGGCTTTGTGAAGAGGCCCGATTCTTTTTAAGTGTGAAGGCTTGGGATACGGAGACCAGTAAGCTACCAAACCCGCCCCCTCTCTCTCAACCTTCCCTTTGCTTCACTTCTTAATCGTAACCGCTTTCCTTGCTGACAGGAAACAGTCGTCAACAAAGCTGACCATTCGGCCATGCTAACTGGGACCTTTACATGCGCCGGCCTCCCTGGTTCCCCTTTCATGGTACAACGCGGCGCGTTCCACCTCTTCTCCGTTGACTCCGAAGCGCCTGGTACCAGAAATCTCACATACGACTTTGACATGACGTCCACCGACGGTGGCGCTTTTCATTTCCACGGCCAGAAGATCGTCGACAGTAGCGTTGCACTCGGCCCCTGGCGCTTCTGGAAGGCGACCAGTACGCTCTACGTGACCATTAGCGAGGCTAACGGGGGAAAGAGGGTGTTGGGAAGAGGCATGATGCACATCAAGCCCATGGACTTCTTGTCCGAGCTTTTCACGCTGAAACCCTCGGGCAAATCTTTCCTCTCCAAACTTCACTCCTCCGTGTCCTTCATGGGTTTCTTCGCCAAGCAGTCTATGGGGCTCTTCCTGGCGCCCTTCACCTGGCAACAATATCCGTCAGTCACATACTCGGGCTTCATCAACGAGACGTCTCCAGACCGTACAATCAAGATTGTAGCAAGTGACGGCGTACAAACATTCCTGCATATCTGGGAACCGCGGAACCCGGAGCTGAAGACCGAGAATCTCTTTATGATCCCCGGTGCCTCAGTCGACCATCAGATCTTCTCGCTCCCAACCATTGACGTCAACGCCGTTAACTACTTCACCCGCGCCGGCTACCGTGTACACGTCACGGTGCACCGTATATGCCAGCTCATGATAGCTGAAAACGATTGGACGACCTACGATTCCCGCCTAGATATCAGAGCCTGCTACGAATGGATGCGGAAGGAGCACGGCCATGCCCCGATATATACAATCAGCCACTGCATGGGCGCCGTTGCGTTCTCGAGTGGCCTGTTGGACGGCACCATCCCGGCGAAGTGGGTTCGGGGGATCACTAGCAGCCAAGTGCTGATGAACCCGATCTGGTCGACGCTGAATATGGCGAAGGTGATGGCTGGGCCGGTGCCGTTTGACAAGCTGTATGGCTGGCTCGGCGGCAAGTGGTTCAGCTGCTCTTCGACCCGAGGCGATAGCTACTTCCAGCAGTTGGTCAACCAGATCTTGCGCTTCTACCCGGACGCGAGGGAAGAGATCTGCAACAACGTGTCTTGTCACCGATGCTCGCTTATCTTCGGCCGGTACGTCCATCCCCTTTTCTTTTCTTACCTCCCACCCCCCCTGGTTCTTCCCTAAGCTCTTCTCCCTTACTTCCCCATCTCCCAAGAAACAAGTCAAACAGTAAAGCACAAGATTTATATATAATATACACCTCACACTCAACCCCCCAACCTCACTAACGCCCCACCCCTCCCCTGCAGGCTCTGGAACCACCGCAACCTCAACGACGCCACGCACCGCCAACTCAACCGCTTCTTCGGCGGTGTGAACATGACCTGCCTACACCTCCTCATGCAGATGGGCCGCCGCGGCCTCGTCACGACCAACTCCCCTCTCTTCGGCGACCTGACGACGCCCGCGCACCTGCGGCGCCTCGCCCGCCTGCCCGTCATGCTCTTCTCGGGCGCCGACAACCAGGTGCTGACCCCTGAGGCGACGGAGCGCTCGTACGGCCTCCTGCGCGACGCCTTCGGCCCCGCCAACTACTCCCGCCACCTCATCCAGGGCTATGGCCACCTCGACTGCTGGATGGGCCGCGAGGCCTACGTCGACGTCTTCCCGCGCGTGCGCGCCGAGGTCGACCGCGTGTGTCGCGGCGAGACCTATCGCTATGCCGAGCCTGATTGGGAAGCCGAGAGGGCGAGGGGGGTGAGCTGGCGGGATCTGCCGGTTTCGAGTTGAGGAGCAGGAGGAGGAGCAGGAGGAGGAGGAGGAGCAAGAGTCTGTATTTATGCTTGATATCTTTGAAAGGGCTGGCTTGCAGGCGTACTAAATTATATATACATATATATATATATATATAAACATCAGTATCAGAACTTATTCATCAATTTTTTACTTCCTCCTCCCTTCTTCAGCTTGTCTTTATTTAGTTCCAGCTGAGCAAGCTTCTTTGGTATTGATTATGTATGTATATTGTATATATTATATATATTATATTCCCCTTTTTGAATCTAAACGGAAACTTGCGTTTGTAAAGTAGAATCAAACAGGCAGCTAGCTGGCGACGCGATATAAGCCGTCAGTAGTAGGGGGGGAGGGGGGTTTCCAAGTTTTGAGTTGATGATAGCTTCTCCTAGTTTCTTGTAATTTCTAAATTTTTGTTAATTTTTTCGGTAATTAATATATATATATATATGTATGTATATATATTCAATGTTGATGAAGTTGTTCGATTTCGCTCACATTATTTCATTACCTTTTTTTTCCCTACTTTTTTTTAAAAAAAAAAAAAGAAAAAAAAGAAAAAAAAGAGGAGGGAATGATGGACTGAATTGGATTGGAATGGAAGGAATATCAATCTAAGAGTGATAAACAACGAAAGACGAAGCCAGCGAAAGGAAAACATCGCTCAAGCCAGCTTGCAGAACAGCTAGCTAGCTAGCCGCCTGATAAGTATAACTAACGTGAGAGTACATGCGCGTATAGTACTACAGTCCCCGAAAATGCCCATCTCAGCACTTGGTAATATAGAGCCCGATAGGCGAAGGGTTCCAATCCTGAAAGTACCGCAGATGAGTATCCCCGACGGCCTCCATCCTATAACTAACCGTCGTCCCAGCCGGGCACGGAAAGTCGGCGATGTGGTAGGAGTTACCCGGCGCGAGGACCGTCGTGCCGTAGCCCGTCTGCACGCCGGGCGCCGTGGCGTAGGACGTGGACGTCGTGGCGATGCCGGTTAGCTGGGCGAAGGAGACGGCGCCGTTGCCGCTCAAGGTGAAGGAAGAGGTCGTGAGCTGGTCCTGGCGCGGAAAGAGGAAGATGAGAGAGCACGTCTTGCCGGCGTCGGCGGCGGGGATGTCGAAGTTGTAGATGCTGGAGATGCCGCCGCTGGGGGAGACCTCGCCGAAGTAACTGGTGCCGGACGCCTGGCTAGGGTTACTGGCGTCGATGGGGAGGAGTAGGTGCGGGAACTCCCATGTGCCCCAGGGGCTGTCGATGTTGGTTGGGCATCCGGGTGGTGGTGGGGTTGGTGGTGGTGTAGAAGGAGGAGAATAGCAGGCGTCGGCTTTGAGTGTGATCTTGCCACAGTTCGTGCCGCCTGGATTGATGTAGATGTTGACTCCGCCCTGACTTAGGTCAATAATCATTCCATCCAAGGTGAGAGGGAAATGACTGACATTTTGTCCTGTTTGACACTCCCAGAAAGTTGTTCCCCCGTTGTAAGCGAGGGTTCCGTCACTCCCAATACTGAATCCTGATGCTGGAGGTACGCCGTCATCGCATTGGTATTGCGTTACTTGGGCTGGTAATGGTCAGTAGGTTATCTGGAAGTGTTAAAGGATGAGTGCTCACGAGTAATGATGCAGCCACGTCCATTGGTGTCCTTAATTGCGCCATCTGCGATACAGAATTCAGCTGAAGAGAGACCTCCATTGACACGGTTTTGGCCGTCATCGAGTTGGCCAACGGTGCCAGTGATAGCACCAGACGCGCTCAAGTGGAAGCAACAGGGTGCCCATCGAGTCACGATGGCATTCGTGCCAGCGACCAAGGCGAGGGAGATGAAGGATTTCATGGTGAACGAACTTGCGTTGAACCTGATGATAGGGACTCGAGCGCTGCCCTTTTCGTAAACAAGAAGTGAGGTCGATTGCTGTATGCTATAGCGAGGATAAGACAACATGCATCCTCTTTATAGATCTCGTTGGAGCAGCACACCAGATCCGATATCCGGTCAGGAAAAGACTAGAAGGCGGAGAACTTGAGAATCGTGAATGGTACAAGAGACGGTTTGCCGCCTGGAAAGCTGTCAAGAATCACACGATAGTGGTCGGTGCAGTACAGCAACTCAAGGGAAGGTATCGTACAACGAAACACATCGAACAGCAGGTACGGCTTCGTGCATTAACGAGGAAGCCACGAATCTCCCCAAGCCAGAAATGCGGTTGAAGCGTAGCAGCCGAGGATCTGATCCTCGTATTTGCAGGCTACACGAGGATGTCTGACGGAGTTTCCTCCATCACATCGATGTCACGAAGAGTCCTCCAGAAACTCCAAGGTCCTGCAATCGGGAATTTACCCACGTGACCGATAGAGCTCGCAACCTGTTGCGTAAATAGTGGAACGTCGTAACTGACAGCATGATCATAATGAGGCGAACCCTCTCGTTCATAGATCTTCTTTTGGGAGCAAAAGCTGCACACGGCCAGTGGCCTCGTAACGTGGGAATCTATTTCTGGCAACGAGAGAGGAACAGCATACATACACACCTGATCAACATCAGCTTCCGCTCTCTTGAATACGAGGGAAAGATTGAAAAGTGTCATGCCACCAGAGACATAAGGAAGATCTCGTAACGTTGCTAAGAAGGAGAGACAAAGGATTCCTCCGAGAATCTAAAGTCTGGTGATGCCTTTCATGGTGGCGATCAATTACGCCCACGATGTAATATCTGCAACAGTACCTAGACAATCAGACGGATCAAATTTCAAATGAGGCGAGATCAACGGTGGGAAAACCAGCAGCGGTTGGCCGTCGCGAGAAGAAGGAAGGACAAGGGAAGAAAAGGTGGTCTTCAAGTTTCGATTGCAAAAAAAATCATATTCATCTTCGCTTTGTTTCTTTTCACACGCAGTTTTCCATTAACCAATTGATCACAAACTCTCGCTGAAATAGTTCACGTGCCATCAGATGGATAATAAGTAAAGAGTGACTCGTTTATTAAAGTAAACACAAGATTGCATCTAATACATCCCACCCAAAAAAAAAGTAAACATTACACAATAAAATTGATGGTCAACGAGCCCTAAAGCTTATGATTTAGTTCTATATAATCCCCCTCCGCACAAAACAATGAAAAGACAGAAACTCAGAGAAAAAGATAGATAAAAATAAATATAAGAGATAGAAATAAGAAAAAATAAGAACAGAAAGATAAAAAAAATGTTCGATCATCGATTCTTCCGTACGTCGCCGCCAGAATCCCCATCGCATTCGCACATTCGCGCATTTTAATCATGCTTGCTCCCCTTCTCCGTCTCTTCACACGAGATAGTTTGTAGTAGTATACGCCGATAGATATAAGGGAAAAAAAAAAGATCATAATTACATCCCACGCAAGCACCATCTGCGCTGCCCCTTTTTTCCTCCGACCTTTCTCTTCGTTTTCGTTGCTTTTCCTGCGTCCACATCTTATCCGTTTGCCACACCTACACCATCATCCAGACACACACGCATACACGGAGATAACAGGCACATCTACGTGATGGTCATGACCATGGGTCCTGCGACCGTGATGGCATCAGTCAGGATGTTATCCGGGGGCGTGGAGCTCGCCAGGTGGAGGTAGGTCACGCCGGCCAGGTTCTGGGGCACGGTGCAGGCGCCGTTGGTGAAGGGGGTGAAGGCGGAGCCGCCGGGCAGGCCACCGTTGACGAAGGCGCAGGAGGTGCCGCCCGTGGCGGTGGTGGTGACGGCGACCTGGGAGCCGGCGGCGATCGGGGAGGCGGGCATGGCGGCGCCGGCCGTCATGGTCAGGGCCGGGAAGGGCGTGATGGCCAGGTTGGAGCCGGCCGGGCAGGCGGAGATGAAGCCCGCGGCGAGGGTGAAGACGGCGCGGATGCCGAGCGGGGTGTCGAAGGCGGAGGGGATGGCGGCCGTGCGGGAGGCGGTGCGGACGAAGGTCTGATGGCGGGCTTCGACCGTGACGATCTCGCCGGCGACGGTGAGGATGCCGGGGGCTTTGACGAGGGGCGCTGCTGCAAGGTAGCTGGTTATGTGTTAGTTAAATTCTGTACAGACGCATTCAAGTATCTGATATAAGATTTCAAATATCGAACAGCGAGAATAGAACAAGGAGTAAACTTACGCAGAAACACCGACGTTCTCCAGCACCGCAGCGGTGGCAACCATAGTCTTAGCATCGGTAAGCGCAGGGGCAAAGTTATAGGTGCACGGCGCGACCGGAGCTGTGCCAGCGCCAGAAATAGCAGCGTTGAGGGTCGTGACATGAGTAGCCTCTGTGCCTCCAATCGACTTCAAGTTGGTGATCTCAGCCGGCGCCAGGCCCAGCGCTGCAAAGTCGGTGTCCTGGAACTTGGCGAAGCCCTGCTGGTAGAACGCAGTCTCGAGGTTCTCGAGCGTGAGAGCGCTGCGTGGTCTGTTAGCTTCTGCTTGAAGGATTGTGAGGTTGGGAGAGTAGAGAGGAGGGTAGAGAAGAGAGCAGGGGAGAAGAGGAGAGGGACCGTACAATTCGAGAATATCAACGTCGGTCAAGCCGTCCGGCAGGCCCGTGGCGGGGTTTTGTCTCCGCTCGAGCATCAGCTTGCGTGCCTGCTGTCCGTACTCATAGGCCCTCTTCTCGTAGGCAGTATATGTGTACTTTGGCGCCGCAGGCAGCGCCATGGTGCTTGCGACACATCCCACCGCTACCGCACACAGGATTGACTTCATGCTCGGCATTATTACTATATCGTTCGATTCGAGAAGAAGAGAGAGAGTGAGAGAGGGATTGTTCGTAGTTTGATTGTGAAAGTAGCAGAGTAGTTGTGAACCGTTTAACAAGACCAGCCTGATCCAATTACAACTAGGTGCACGCCGATGGTGGAATTAAAAGACGAAAGGGTTGAGTTGTGTGAAGAACGTGTATATTAGGAGAGACCAATACAGAGTGGAAGCAGTTATCCCGAAAAGAATAAAATATGTATTGGAAAAAGCAAACCAGCGCTTGAATGGATAAGAAGGGAGGGAGGGAGGGAAGGGGGGTATCTAGGAAGAGGAAGAAGGCAATGAGAAGAAGGGAGAAGGGAAAATCCGGAAATCGAGCGGGAGAAGTAGCAAGTTAAGAGGGGCGAGACGTCGAGAGAGACCAGAGCGGCCCCTGCAGCAGTTTCCACGGGAAGCAGGTCGACCGGCGGAAGAGCAGTGGGAGATCTCATCCACACCTGTGACAAGCTTAAAAGAAAGGAAAGATGCTCATCCGAGCGTGACAGCGGGATCCGGGAAAGAAAAAATAAAGGAGAAAACCCCGAAGCATCTATGCAGCCAATAGCGGCTCTTGCGAGCATAAGCTGTGCACTGCACATGGTGCACTCCGCGTTGCAGGGTCGCGAACGAGCCTCCTGTGTCAGGCCGGTTTGAAGAGGGCCCTGGACAAGTCGCACCACCACCGCAGCAGAGAGGGATTTTCGTCATGGAAAAAAGCGATCGAGCGAGCGAAGGAGGAGAGCGCAGAAAGAGAGGGAAAGAGAAAGGAAGAAGACAGATCTTTCTTATCAAGCTCGCCTGCGAGCCTTTATTTACTTACTCGGCGGGGAAGCGAGCAAGATCATCTTCACATCGTCCACGCGTCTGATCGGTAGATTGACAAATAGATAGAGATGAGGATTCGATAATCCAAGCCAATGAGTTTTGTGCGGTATCATCCAAAATGCCGACCCTCGATCTGGCAGCTGTTGCAAGGAAACTTTTCCTTTATCCATCCATCCCTCGATTCTGTTCTCGTGGTAGTAGTAGATGGCGTCTTTGCCGTATCGTCCAAATTCAAACACTGTGCATCTTTCCCGTGTCCCGAATCAAGCCAGCGAACTGTATCGCAGGAAATGACCATTCCCAGCGTCTTGGTTCTTCGCCTTCTCTTCGTCTCGTTCTCTTTTGCCCCAAGACTGCCTGGAAAATTAGTCGACTGGCTGCCTACCTCCTGGCCGAGGAACTCTGGAGTGAGGCTTGATGGCAGTCTTTCCCTTATATACCTACATTAAAAACATCATTCGTACAAACACTCATGCCTTTCGCCTGGGCGTCTAGAGATTTTCTGCATTGATTGATTGATCTGCGCGAAGAATTACAGGTGCACAAACGCTAAAGCAAAGGAAATTATCTGCTCCCGCCCCCTTCCTCTCCGACCCAGATTCATATATCACAGGCCAAGCTTGCACTCGCCACGATCCGCTTTCGTTATTATTCTCCACTTCTCCACTTCATCCATCAATCCCTCGATCCCTCATTCATCTCATCTCATCCCATCCCATCCCATCTTGACCCCGTTGCCAAACCCCATCCAACAACCATTCATGAGTGCCCTTAACTACAATTTTACAAAGGAAAAGTTCATCTCCGCTCGTAGCCCAGAAACATGGCTTGGATAGCACAGGAGTTGTCCCAAACAACTGTGCATGTCGGTATCGGTAAATTACTCATCTGAGGAGTGACGCACCACGTGCATCCTTGGAGGAATCACGACCGTATGCAAGTGGGTAAGTGAACGATTGGATCAATGCTCATAGAGCATAGGGGTTGAGAGAACGGATGGTTAGGCAACTACGAATGGTTAGATTGGGCAAGAAGCTGAAGAGGGATGTAACGTACGGAGGACTCTTGGTGAGGTCTGTTTTCAAGATGACAGGAACTCTTGTCATTTCCTTTACGTCCTGAATGTACTCGCCGTTCTCCTCGCGAAGAGTGAAGAACTTCAAGTATTTTTCCTTGGCACTGAGTTTGGCCTCAGCAGGCTCGACAGGAGGGACTTTAGAGTCGGATCTAGTACGGTGAAGTTTACCCGAGGCTTGAAGGGAGTTCTTGGTTGGAGAGGGTGGGACGCTCTGGGTTGGGCGGTCATTGAGAGATACGCCAGCGAGACTGTCAGCAACGTCAGAGACATCGTCTTCGTCATCAAACAGCGCGTCAACATCGTCGGTAGAGATCGTGCCAGTCTCCATTTGCTTGCGTTGGGCTTCCTCGTGCTCTTTCTTGGCACGCTCAGCGACGGCGGCTTTCTTTGCGGCAGCGGCAGCATTGGTCATGCGCTGAGATGCGCCTGCTCTAGGACGCTCATCCTCTGGGATGTATATTGAGGATGGGACGCCCTTCTCCCAGTACAACTCCAAGATACGATCGTTCTTGCGGAACTCTGCCTTCTTCAGTGGCAGCTGATCACAATGAACTCGCTTCTCGAAACCATACTCGGGGATGAGGACGTCGAAAGCAGAATCATAGACAGCAAGGACGATGCCTTCGCTGATAAGTTCGCCACCGGCAGCTTCACGCTTTCTGTCCATGATGCGGCAAGATTCGATGTGGACACTTTGCTCTTGGGCATTTTTGGAAGAATCCTTCTTGGTGTTGCAAGACTCAGTGGTCTTAACAAGGGTCTCAATGTCCTCGTTGAACTCAATCTTCCCTTCAGACAGAACCGCTTCGAGCTGGCGGTGAACGACCAGATCCGCATAGCGCCGAGAGGGGTTGGTGAAGTGTGTATAGAGAGGGAAGTTCAAGGCATAGTGAGGGTAGAGATGGGCAGGTGTCTTTCCAGCAATGAAGTACTTGGCTCTGTGCATAGCTTTGACGAGGAGGGTCTCCATTCCGAGTCGGATTTGAGTGTCATCGACCTTGAACAAACTAGTCTGGAGAGTTCCACTGGTGGTTGCGTCTATCTCGTAGCCTATCTTATTCATGCGGGAGATGAATGTTTGGAGGCGCCGAGGGTTGGGTGGACCTTGTCTACGGAGGAGTGCCTTCTCGGGCAAACCCTTGAAGATTCTCTGTGCAACGTAAGCGTTGGCCTTGTGCATCAACTCTTCAATAAGCTCGTGTGATGGAGTTGAGTCGAATATGTTTTGCTCGACTGGGACATTCTCATCGTCCAATTGGTAGATCAGTCTCAATGGGGTGATGGTCTCGCCTTCGGTTCCGAGACGACGTTCGCGCCACTTTTGGGATACGGCCTACCGGAGCGTTAGTAATAAGAAGTGACAGGAACAGGTAGGCACATACGTTAAGAATCTGAATCTCCCTGACGTCAGCTCCATCGAGCTTTGTGTCGAGATGGCCAGACAAAACAGCATCGACCTCCTTGTAGGTCAATTTACCAGCACTCTTGATGATACTCTTCCCGATCCATGTATCTTCGTCAGAGACCATTCCAGTGTGAGCATTAACTTTGAAGACCACCGATACAGTCAGTCTGTCTTGGCCCGGGACTAAAGAGCAGATCTCGGAAGCAATCTTCGGTGGGAGCATGGCGCATGATCCTGAAGTCTCGAGTGAGCAATATGACCAACATGTTTGAGCAGAAAGACTTACTGTTCATGAGGTACACCGCGGAGCCTCTCTTACGAGCTTCTCTATCAACAAGCGAGTTCGCCTTGATGAAATGAGCGACATCAGCGATGTGAATACCAATCTCAATCTTCCCATCTTCCTCCTCGGTCTTGACGTGGATGGCATCATCAAGCTCATCGGCACCATTAGGGTCAATCGTAAAGGTCTTCTCATTACGGAAGTCACGACGAGCGGCAATTTCAGCCTCGTCTTCCTTCTCAATAGACCATTCGTCAAGACCAACACTGCGTGTAACGGCATCGGAAAATTCATCGGAGGCGAAGTTGTTGTCTCGAAGAAGAGCATCCGTCTCAACCTTCAACTCACCCATCTTTCCGAGTTGCTCGACCAGAGTACCGAAAGGATGCAGAGAGGTGATTGGCCATCTCTTAATGCAAGCAACAAAAATGCGGTCGGCATAGTCTTGATGCTTCTCAACAAAGTCACGTGGAGCTTGCTCGGTGGGAATAGCAATCAGTGGGACGCGCTATTTTCAATCGGATCAGCGGATGCTAAGGGGTAGGGGAGGGATGCAGGATCCCGCAGTGCGCTTCATGCAGAGAGATCATGACTGTGGGGCGGGATAATCTTACCTTGTCAGTTGGCTTGAACCAGACGATCTTTGGCTTGTCTTGCTGTCTCTGCTCCTGGTGACGACCAGAGTTACCATCACGAGCTTGACGCTCAGCCTCTTGCTTCTCCTTGGTCGCCTGACTGCTAGGTCGAAGGAGACCCAGCGTACCCGAGAACATCTGGCCAGCAACACGCTCAACCACAGCAACAATGTGTCCGGCATAAAGCGGCTTTTGCTCATCGTTGACTTCCTCCTCCTCGACGAGAAGGAGACTCTGTCCCTCGACTTCCACATCATCGTTCTTCTTCTGAGTTGGCCGCTGCCTCAAACTTCCACGTCTGCGAAGCCCGCCACCCTCGCCAGTGCTGGGTTGCTCATCGCCGGTTGTTGAGTTATCACGGTGGGATCGATCGTTGTTGTTGGAGCCACCTCGGCTATCCGTGACATCCTTGCGCTTCTTCTTCTCTTCCTTCTCGCGCTTCTGGCCCCACACTTCGTCCACATCCAACAGTTCAACGGCAACGAGATCTCCTTCCAGGGCTCGATTACGATCCTTGCTTCCACAAATGAAAATGTCGGCATCGAGAAGACCATCCTGGGTGGTGACATAGGCGTCACTCCGATTCTTCTTATTCACACGGAGGATACCGGAAACAAGCTGGCCGTCACCGAGAAGAGCAGGAAGTGTAGCTTGTGGGAGGTACGGGGTGAAGAGCGTCTTGCGCTGTTGTTGTTGATGCTGCCCAGACATGTGGGGGGCGTGTTGGCTGCCTTGGAGACCAACCTGTCCATTCATCTGAGCGGCTTGCAGAGCCTGGAGTTGGCTGATCTGGAGAGGGTTCAATTGCTGACCAGCGTACATCTGGGGAACCATCAGCTGTCCCGGCTGCATTGGCACAATCTGAGGTTGGCCACCATACTGGAAACTGGGAATGGAGTTGATCGACTGATTGCTGGATCCACGGTTGCGGTGACCAGGTTGGAAACCACCCTGACCCTGGAAGTTGCCCATGGCACCCTGATCCTGTGTAGGAGCTCCGCCTTGGGGCTGGTTTCTCCAGTTTCCCTCAAAGTTTCGGGAACCTTGTCGGGTGTGTGAACTATTGCCGCTTCCTCTTCGCTGGATGTCGTTGCTCTGGCCCGAAGCTCCTGCATCTACGGTAGCCTGCATTGGAGGAAATTGGAACGAGCCTCCACCCCGGGTAGATCCACCACCTCGTCCGTTGACGGCCATGCTCTGACTTCGTCCATGTCCACCGCCTCGGCCACGCGTGCTCTGGCCTGTGTTTCCAGCTTGTGGGAGCTTCTCTTCGGCAGGTGGTGAGTTCGCGCCGTCGTTTGCATCGCCACCGGCAGCTCCTGGGATGGGGAATTGGAAGCCGGAAGTTGTGCGTTTTTGCTGGGCAAGCTCGGCAGCCTTCTTAGCTTCGGGGAGAGCCAAAGAATGACGACGCTGGTGTCCGCCACCGGGTGGTCCGCCTCCGCGGCCTCCTCTGCCAGCATTCTCGCCTCTTTGTTGTCCTCCAAAGTTGTCAAATGCAGATGCGGATGCTCCAGAGGAGGGGGCGGGTGGAGGACCCATGCCCATGTTGGGGAGAGCTGATTGATTACGGCGATGCGAGAGCGGTTGCGTAGGGGCACCCATAGAAACGTTCATCTGCTGTTGTTGCATCTGGTTCGGAAACTGGAAGTTGTTCTGAGGAATGCCTTGCATCTGCTGCTGGAGAGGGTTGTATCCGGGGGCGAGATGCTGGGTTGGAGGAATCATGCCCATGTTGACATACTGTTGGTGTGTAGCTTGAATTTGCTGTTGTTGTTGTTGCAGAAGCTCGATTTGTTGCTGGATGGCCAGCTGCTCCACTGTGGATGGAAGATATGCATTAGCACATTGATCTGGTTCAAAGGAGCCGAGAGAAGACATCAATCAGGCAGGGCATGCTCGAACTTACTGCCTGGGCTGGAGAACATGCTCATCAATGGGGTCAGCTCCGAGGGGCTTCGGCGATGGGCAATGTGCAGTCTACGACCATTTGGACCCGATACACCACTCTGCGACTGTGGCTGAAGATGCTGCTGTGCCTGCTGCGGCTGCAGCTGCGGCTGCTGTTGTTGGTTCTGTTGCTGCTCCATGATGGAGGTGTGCACGTCCAGTGCGAGGAGTGGGTGTGAGAGGAGGCAGTCCGAATGATTGTGATGATCGGGACTCAAATGGGAGGGTAAAAGAGGGGAAGAAGATCAAGGAAAGCTTCTCGAGGTTCCGAGATTGTTTGGAGTAGATGGAAGAGAGAGGCAACAGTTGAGGGAGAGTGTTGAGAGGAGACGTGCAGTTTTGGAGAAGGAGATGGCGGAGGTCAGGAGCCAGAGAGACAGGTCGAGGCGTTACACACCAGCGTGGCCACAAATGGTTTAGCGTTGACTTTCGGGATGGGGTTAGTGCTATCTGGGCTGGCTGGGCTGGGTCAAGTCGGGCGGGACACAGATGTTTGTCGTTTCAGCATGGCAAGCAAAACTAAACAGACCATTTGGATCTTATAATAGAATAGGACTATCAGCTAGGTAGGCAGCTACCTCGTTTTTTATCAAAGTTGATTTATCCAGGCTTTTCTCTATCACTCTATCTGCTTGCGACTACTTAAGATCACATTCGGCCCTTTCTGTTCTATTTCATCGTCGGACTCCCTGGACCTCCGGGACCTGGCATCCCCATACTTACTGACTGTCCTTACCGAATTAAACTATCCTCCAGCCCAAGGTCTATCTATCTCTTGGTGCGGTAGCTACTCTACTACCACTTCCAGTGTACGGTCCCCTGTCTTGGCGTGGTCAGATCAGGATCAGCCTTCTGTGCGGCAAGTCGGGAGGGTATGAGAGCTGACGGACGTGTGGCGATCGGGTTTGGATGTTGTTCGGAATCCGAAATCAAAACATCTCTCTTCCGTTGGCACCACTGACCTTTCGGCAATCACAGGCCCTTTTCAAAAAGCTATCGGTCGTGCGGAGTACAGCTCCTTTGCCAAGAGCAGTCCCCCACTACGATCACGTTGTCCCATCCTATCAATACCGGTAGCAGCTTCAACAAATGCCTCCTACGACGGTCTATTGCAGCACTTCTTCGTCTAAACTGTTCGTTTATTTCGTCCTGCTCGGGCTTGGTGTGAGTTTTGGACTCGGACTGCACCTTAGTCATGAGAAGGAGAGTCAACATGTCCGGTCAGAGCCTCACCGCAATCCGTACACCCGAGAGAGCAAAGTGCCTCGGTAAGTCAGGAAGGACATGGTGGCGTTCTGCTGGGTAGAGAGGTCAGAGGTCAGAGGTTAGATACGGTAGAGGTTCGAGGTCCGATGAGATGCTTCTGGATCGCTGAACATGGAACGGCCAATTGACCAAAGACATTTGCTTGCTATCATTCGAAATGAAAACCAAAGTTCTTGTATAGTATAGAAAGGAAAACCGACATCAAATCCCTGGTGCTACTTTTCATTATTCAATTTCACAATCTCAGAAGTACTAGTTGGTTGTGAGGAGCTCCGAGAAGCCGAGTCCGTCCACGCCATAGTGCTCCCCTTTCTCCTCAACTTGATTCAGAACCAAGAGATACCGAAAGGTTGCAAACTCCATGTCGTCACCTTCTCGCCTTGGGAAAGAGAGTACCCGGGTAACCTGGAAGGGATATCCTCCGTCTCTTCATCGTCGTCATGTCGCCCGGGCACCCTCGTACTGAAGCTTGAGCACAGATCAGGCCCCGGGCTCCGTATCTCGAGGTGCCGAGGGCTGATATGTGTAGATAAGGGACATCGATATAAGATCAATGATTACGGTATAGGTATTCTCTATTGGATCGAGCGCAATTTCACTTACTGCTGCGATATAGCTCGTAACGAGACCAGAGGACTCGACGTCCAGAGGGAAGAGATGAATTCCGCCAATTTTAATAGCTCTGACTCAAGGACTTCAATTATACCCGGAAAGAGAAGGACTTGTTATAGATGGTCCTCAAAAGCGGAATAAACATCGGAAGGGAGGAGGTGAGGATGGTGAGGATGGCGAGGATGGTGTTGATCCGAGAGAAATGCAAGCAAGCTCGCCCGCCCGTGACATTCCGGTCCGGACTGTGCCAAGCCAAGTGCATACACCGCCCACCGGGCAGAATTATTTTGACGCCTCGTGTCGGAGAGATTGATAACCTCACATTTGAGCGCATTCACTCCCAGAGCCCCCCCGCCGCTGACCTTCCTATTGCCGCACTTGCACAATAGCAGGGGAAGCGAGCCAGGAAGCGAGCGAGGCGATCTCACCAATTATTTATTCAAATGTCCCCGTCACGATGTCTTCCTCTTCCTCTCCCAACCTCAACCCCAACCTCAACATCAACCTCAACTCCAACGGTGGAATGGACGAACAACTGCTTCACGGCATTGAACGCCTCTCTTTCCCTCATCCAAGCGACTTCTCTAACATGGAGGCATACCACACTGCGCGACTCGAAGAGCAGTGGCAGTATTCCCTCAAGGTCCAAGAACGAGCCCAATTGGTCCTACAAACCGCCGTGGACGATCGCCAGGCGAAGCTGCTGAAAGCAAAGGCGGATGCGCTGGAGAAGAGCGTGGCAGCTGCAGAGAAGAAGGCAAGAGAGGAGATTCGGATTCGTGAGGCAGAGAACAGGGCAAAGCAAATTCCGCACCCTCCACCAAGACTTCCAACACCTCCACCTGCACCTGCACCTGCACCTCCCGTGGTCCAACCTACCCCTCCAGTTCTCGCGGAATCAGTCAAGGGCAAAGACGTAGCACAACTCTCCCAGCCATCTCCCACTTCGCCTGCCGGGCCAGCCAACCCCTCTTCCACCCCGGAACATCCTCCGAAGTCTCACAATTCGTTCGTCAAAGGACCAGCAGCTCATCAGGTTCCGGCCCCGCCAAACCCGTTCCGTACAGCTCCCCCTAGCGCAGACCCAGGCTCCTCTCAACCGCCTTCTCAGCCTCGTTCAGGCGAGAGACCGAATCCTTTCGAGGCTGCTCCCGCTGCTCCCGCCCCTCCTATTCGTTCTCCCGTCGCCAACCCGCAGCCGCCACCGCCAGCGCGTGGCGAGGAGACCAGTGCTCAGCTCGTCCTTGCAAATGTCCAACGGTACGATCAGATTTTACAGGACTGCAAAAAGCTTCGAAAGTACGTTTTGAGCCTGGACCAAAATTCTATGAGTCTGCCAAACGTCGCTAGCCCTGCTGCTGGCAATCGAAAATACTCGGTGAAAAGCCTCGCTGGTGATCTACGCCGCATGCTGAACAGGACCTTGGGTCAATTGACCGACGGGGCGGGCACCAACAAGGATCAGGCAAGTAGCTCCTCTCTCTACAAGCAACCCCTCTAACGAGAATCCAGGCCCTCGCAATTCGAAACATCTTTGACCTCACCCTTAGCCCTCAAGCTCCGTCACCCCTCATCAACCCAGAGCAGTTTCTCGTCACACCCCCAGCGAACCCGGTTGCAGATGCAAACAACAATAATGGCCAACTACCATGTCTGTTTATCTACGTCGTCAACATCTTCGCCAAAGCGATCGTCAAACAACTCGCAAGCGAGGCGGCAGTCAACCCGCGCATCGCAGAGCCAGTTGGTGTCCTCGTCCACAACATCGTCACCCACCCCAATTACCTCTGGCGTGGCACATCGTTCATGGATATCATCATGGCCAAGATTCGTGTCTCCCTCCCTGTCGTCTTCGGCGTCCGCGGCAGCGAGACCACCCACGAAGGACGCGACCGATTGGGCTGGAAGCGCCTCGATGAGGGATGGATCTCCGAGGCAGAGCACTACGATCGCATGCGCGGTCTCGGGGCAGGCTACGCTGCCTTGTGTCTACGCAACTATAGCAAATCTCCCCGCACGAACCCCTGGCCTCCTTACCACTACTGGAACTCCATGGCCCTGCTTCTCAACACCCCACCTGGCGAGCGCAGCGCTACGCAAATCCTCGTCCTCACTGCCATGATCGACGGCTTTGAGAAGAATTTCTTGGAGTTTTACGGCGACATGGCCATTGCTGCTCTCCGTGCGGCTCTGATCACGTTTCCGAACGAGTCTCCAGAGCAGAGCGCTGCTGTCAAGACGCTGGGGGTTCTTGGTGAGCGCCTGAAGCGGGTTCTTGGTCTCACGATCTGATCATTTACCACTGTCTCCGGGAGTTGGACATGAACCCGTTGGCATATTCGGGGTGGAGACGGGTGTTGCGGCGTCATGGTGTTGGAAATGGGGGGGCGGGGGCGGATTTAGTGTTTTTTTTATCTCCTCTCTTCTTCGGTACTACATATGGGGGACTGTATTTGTTCAAGGCTCGGCGCTGGCTGGTCAGGTTCTCGGACTAAGGTCTTACGCATGTTTTTGTATCAGGGCTCACTGGAGTGAATGGCGCGGGTGCATACTTTTTGCTGCTGGAGCGGCTTGCTCGCGATCCACGTTAGCACTACTCATGTAGCTAGCAAGATCTGTTTTCAAAATTCAGAGAGAGAGATGGGTATATTTCGATGCGGATACACAGCTGCCTTCGCAATGAAAAGATAAATTGTCTTTTAGGCTCAAGTTTGAATCTCTCTCCGCCTTCTGTCCGTTGTTCCTCTCCTTCCCTTTCTTCCCCCCATCCTCCCACCATCTATCTTTTCTTATCCCCCCCGGATAGGATGCCAGTGAACTCCTCACGCTTATCCAGGCAAGCCTTCCCTGGCTACTCTCCGTACCTGCTTCTTTTCTCTTCCTTCACCTTTCATGCAAAAGGGCTAAGACGGTGGCCCGGGCGACTATACGTCGAACGTCGGACGTCTTCTTCTGCAGCGGGAAGAAGAAGAAGAGCGGGAAAGATAGATAGATACCGAGCCTTGAGTTCGTCCTGGGCGGGGGTTTCTATCGATTTCGATATTACTATTTTCTCTTGTATCGAAATCTTTATCTGCATATCTATATCCATGTCTATTTCCATATTAACAAGACACCCCTCGCGACGCCATGACGGAAAAGAACGGCCTTGGACTCGCCCACCACCGGACCTAGGCACCGATCTCAGAGAACCCGCACTATTTGCACGCCGCCCTGGGTTACCGGTCGCGGCCCGGTCCGCGAGGCTAGCTTTTGAACGGCCTGAATATCGAGTCCGGCAAGAAGCGGAGCTACGGCCGGGGCAGCGGTTCGCGATGGGTTGGAACTAAGTCTTTTGAGTAAGTTGTGTTACCGGTATTCAACATCACCCCTAGTCCACCATGGACCCCACCCCCGGGCCCGCCCCCTCCAAAAAAAAAAACAAAAAAGGAAAAAAGTAATAAAATAAAAA